AGACAAGAGAAAGAAGCGCGCGGCTTCCGAGACAATGATTTACACAAAAAGCAAGCAAACTAACAAAAAAAAAACTAGTTTAAATTGTTCAAACCAACGCTACATACTGCAGCGAACACAACAACAACAAASAGAACAAACCTTGGACTTAATGTGTTTAACCATGACAGCTGCTGAAGAAMTGCTCCACACCTTCACAGAGGACAGGTAAGGTTCGGATTAACCTGTCGGGAAGAAAACGCCCTGGTTTTTATGAAGGCTCGTCCTTTGGCCCAACCCACCGCGGAGGGCTGTGTTTCACAAACTGTTCCGGAAAAGCCCAAAAACTCACGATGAGTTGACATAATTTCGCTTCACCGTAAGTTACGAACGCTCACTTCCACAGAAATAAAAGCTCCGCAAGGCGACGTACGTGCYCCTGCGTCATTGCGTAATCACGTTCAGCTGCGTAGGGTTTTAACGCTTTTCACATGGCAAGCTTAAAACATTTATTATCTTGATATGTACTGTAACAAACATTTTGAGGTACAACATAAACAGAGGGGCAACACGTTTTTGGTCAATATTTAGATAAATTTCAGGTCTAAATTGAGCACATTTTAATTATCTTTTGTCCACTCTCTTACTGAGAGAATGGACAATGATGTATTATTTATTCAACAACAGATAAGATACTGCGGATCGTTGCCATAGATATGTACAGTAGATAACCCTTCATTTTTTGCGGCTTCCGAAGGAGCCAGTCCATGCAGGCTGGGTCCTTTGGAAGGATCCAGCACCTGAATTCGGACCCGAATCCGTGTCGCAACTCCCCCGAAGTCTCCTCGAAGTCCCCCGAAAGTCCCCCTGCCCCATGGCCCCTCCGAACTCATCGCCTGCCTGCCTGTCTGCCAGCCAGCCTGCCAGCCTTTAAACCCAGGCGTGGGGAGAGTTCGGAGGGGCCGTTGGGGGGGGAGACTTTTGTGCATCTTCGGGGCCTTTTTGGAGTCCTTGGAGTGGTTGCTGGAGTGCGCTCCTGGCGGGGACTCCCTTGTTCTGCTGGGGGACCGGCATCCTCCCCCACCAACGGAGCCAACCCACCACCAGGCACTGGGCAGCTGTCAGCCCCGCCCCCCTCTCCACCCAAGTGTCCAAAACACGCRGCCRCAGACCAGAYRAAACAACAACAAAATCAATCACAGAACAGCGGCCCAGGTGTGTCCTGGCGCCAAGAGCACACATGGACACCCCCACGCTTGAACATGGTGCCCACCACAGACAATCCATGAAGCCCAACACACAGAAGCCCAACAACAAAACACCGCTCGGGCTCAGATGGGGGGGGGGGGGGGGGGGG